CCCACCCCCTCCCCTCCAACCCCTACCCTCTACCTCTTCTCGTATTCCCTGCCATCCTCTACCCTTACCCTTCCCCTTCCCCCTTCCCCTCCCCCTCCTCCTATTGTATCTATTATGATCCCGACTGATGTTGAACCCGAACTGGGAGGAACGACATAATTCCAATGAGGGGTTTCGGCTTTGGTGCTTGTCTGGCCCTCCCCTTTCCCCCTTCCCCCTTTCTCCCTCCCCTTTCCCCTTCCCTATGTCATCCTCTCCCTCTCCCACCCCCCTTCTCACCTTCCTCCTTACCCTCCCCATCCCTTTGTCTTCCTCTCCCTCTCCCACCCTTCCCGAATTCAGCCTACCCCTTCTCCCCATGCTTCCCCCTCCCCTTTATCTCCCTTTTCCTCCCACCTCCCCCATCACCCCTACCCCTCCAACCCCCTACCCCTCCAACCCTACCCTCCCCCTCTAACCCTTACCCCCCCTTCCCTACCCCTCCCCCTCTACCCCTACCCCTAAAACTCCCAAACCCCCCTTCCAACCCCCCCCTCCCCCCTCACCCCTATCCCCCTCAACCTTACCCTCCCCCCCTCAACCCCAAACTCTATCCACCCACCCCCATCCTACCCCTCCAACCCCATCCTACCCCCCACCCCCTACCCTACCTCCCTCCAACCCACCCTACCCCCTCCAACCCCTACCCTCCCTCCACCCCTACCCTCCCTCCAACGATGCCCCCCTACCCTCCCCTCCAACGATGCCCCCCCCCTCCCTCCAACGATGCCCCCCCTACCTCCCCCTCCAACGATGCCCCTCACCGTCCCCTCCAACGATGACCCCCCACCCTCCCCTCCAACAATGCCCCCACTCCCCCCTCCAACGATGCCCCTACTCCCCCTCCAACGATGCCCCCCCCTCCTCCCTCCTACCCCCTCCAACCCCACCCTACCCTACCCCCCAACCCCTACCCTCCCCTCCAACCCCCTACCCTACCCCCTCCAACCCCCCCTACCCTACCTACCCCTACAACCCCCCCTCCACCCCCCACCCTACCCATCCCCCTCCAACCCCTACCCTACCCCTCTCCAACCCCTCCCACCCTACCCCCTCCCCAACGATGCCCCACAAGAGCCAATTCAAATTCCCGATCGGACGCCCTCGGATGCCGGATGCGCGAGTGATCATCTCGGAGGCCGGAGGAGGCAAAGGTAATCATTTCGGTCGGGCGGCCTCAGCGCGGGTCGACGCAGGACACGCGGTCCGGACCTATAAGCTTGTTGCTGTGAAGAAATTGTTATTGTTTTGTCCATAATTTCTTTACTTTTCTTTTTTTTAATTTTTCCCTCTCTTTTTTTTTCTTTTTTTAAATTTTTTCCCTCTCTTTTTTATGTTTTATTCATTTTGTTTTTTATGTCTAGAGTTATCGTTTTGTCCATTTCTCTTTACTTTTCTTTTTTTCCCGATTTTTTCCCGACACGCGATCCGGACCTCTAAGCTTATTGCTGAAGAAATGGACTAATGACGATTTTTCTCCTTTTTTTGCGTTCGATTTTTTTTCTCTCTCTCTCTTTTTGTTTTTTTTTCCTTGATGTTTTGTTTATTTGGTTGACTTTTTTATATCTGGAGTTAATTGTTTTGTCCATAAATTCTCTTTACTTTCTTTTTTCTCCTCTTTTGTTTCTTTTTCCTTTATGTTTTATTCATTTTGTCGATTTTTTTATGTCTAGAGTTATCGTTTTGTCCATAATTCTCTTTACTTTACTTTTTTTCCCCTTCTCTTTGTTTCTTTTTTCTTTGTTTATTCTTGTTGATTCTTTTTATGTCTAGAGTTATCGTTTTGTCCATAATTCTCTTTACTTTTCTTTTTTTCCCGTTTTTCGGCTGGACGGCCAGTGCGGGTCGACACAGGACACGCGATCCTAAGCTTGTTGCTGAAGAATGGACTAATGACGATTTGTCTCTTTATTTTGCGTTCGTTTTTCCTTTATTTTTTGTTGATTTTGTTGATTTTTTTATGTCTAGAGTTATTGTTTTATCCATCTCTTTACTTTTCTTTTTTTTAATTTTTTCCTCTCTTTTTTTTCTTTATGTTTTTTTTATGTCTAGAGTTATCGTTTTGTCCATAATTCTCTTTACTTTTCCTTTTTTCCCGTTTTTTTCCCGACACGCGATCCGGACCTCTAAGCTTGTTGCTGAAGAAATGGACTAATGACGATCTGTCTCTTTATTTTGCGTTTGTTTTTCGTATCTTTTTGTTTCTTTTTCCTTTTTGTTTTGTTTGTTTTGTTGAATTTTTTATGTCTGGAGTTATTGTTTTGTCCATAATTCTCTTTTCTTTTTTTTTCTCCTCTTGTTTCTTTTTCCTTTGTTTTATTCATTTTGTTGATTTTTTCATGTCTAGTTATTGTTTTGTCCATAATTCTCTTTACTTTTTTTTCTTTTTTTTCCTTTATGTTTTATTCATTTCGTTGATTTTTTTTATGTCGTTATTGTTTTGTCCATATTTCTCTTTACT